GAGCCCGGGTGTCCGGGCTCCCAGAACCCCCTGCTCCCCCCCTTTCCCCCGCCCCAGGGAACCCAGGCGTCCTGAGCTCAGACGCCTGGAATCCGGGGGGGGCAGGGCCATATAAGGCCCCCGCGGCCCAGCTCGGGCGCAGCTCGGAGCCATGGAGGTGCTGGCAGGTACGCCCGGACGCCGGGGTTCCCTGCGGGGGGAGCAGGGGGGTCTGGGAGCCCAAACACCTGGGTCCCCCGGGGCTTGGGGGGAGCTGGGAGCCCAGACGCCGGGGTGGGGGGTGGAAGAAAGGGGTTTAGGAGCCCGGGCGCCTCGGTTCCCTGGGGTGGAAGGGGTTTAGGAGCCTGCGCACCTGGGTTCCCTGTGGGGGAGCAGGGGGTTTGGGAGCTCGGACGCCTGGGTCCCTTCGGGTGTGGGGGGAGCCCAGCTGCCCGGTTTCCCTGGGTGGGGAGCTGGCCTGGAGGGTGGGAGCAGGGGCAGGCCCGAGCGCCTGGCTTTCTCTCCGCAGCCCTGGGATAATATGGAGGGGGGCAGGTCCTGGGGGCAACTGAGCCCCTTGCCCCCACTCCCCACACCGAGAACCCAGGCGTCCAGGATCCGCCCCTCAAGCCAACCTGTGCTGGGCATGGAGCGTCCTGGGCTGACCCAGGCGAGCGTGACGGACACATGGGGGTGCCAGGAGAGCCCAGGTGTCCGGGCTCCCAAACCCCCTGCTCCCCCCACTAGGGAACCCAGGCGTGCACAGCCCTGCCCCCAGCCATCTCCCATCCAGGTGCTGACTCGGTCTATCCCTGCTTAGCTCCAGGGGCCCGGACACCTGGGTTCCCTGGGGTGGGGTGTGGGGGGCGGCTGGGAGCCCAGAGCGGGTGGGGCAGGCCGGGTGCCAGGACACCTGGGCTCTCTGGGCTGGGCAGGCCCCCCTCCCCCGTCCCGTTCCGGACACCTGGGTCCGCACAATGGCGCGACAGAACGAGACGTTCCCAAGCACAAGGGTGGTGGGGGGGGCATTACACTGGGCTGGCTCCTGCCCCAGAGCCGGGGCACTAACAGGGTGTTATGCTGGGCTGGTGGCCACCCCAGAGCTGGGTGCATCCGAGCACCAACAGGGCATTATGCTAGGCCATTATGCCTGGCCAGAGCCAGGCACGTGCAAGCTGTATCAAGGCGTTACACTGGGCTGGTGCCTACCCGAGCTAGGCACATCCGAGCACCAACAGGGCATTACATTGGGTCGGACCCCACCCTAGACCTGGGTGTATCTGAGCACTATCAGGGTGTTATGCTGGGCTGATACCCACCCCAGAGCTGGGCACCCCTGACCAGGCCGTGCCCTCCCCACTCTGCAGTGGACCGGCCCCCAGCCCCGGTGCCCACCCCGCGCCGCGCCCTGGCCCAGATGCTGCGCCAGGCTGAGAGCCTGAGCCTGCTGCTTCAGCACAGTGCCGAGCAGCTGCTGGCCGACTATGTGAGTGGTTCCCCGCGGAGCGGGGGGGGGGGGGGGGAGGGCGCGGGGGCGGGGGGGGGGGGGTAGCAGGGGGCTCGCCTGGACCCCTGGGTGCCCAGGGAGAGCGATGGGATTGCTCTGCCCCATGCTGGAGGGAATCCCAGGCTTTGCCCCGTTCATTCTGGAGCCTATTGGTGGGGGAAGTGGGGATTGAGGTGCACACCCCGGGCACCTGGGGTCCCTGGGGTGGGGGTGCAGGGGGGGAATCCCAGGCCCGGTCTGTTCACTCTGGACCCTAATGGAGGCCGGGATGGGACCCAGGCACTTGGGATCCCCTGGGGTGGGGGCGGAGGCATTTGGAACTGACTGATGGCACAGGGAGGGAGATCCCTCCTGCCCCGCTGCCACTGGGCCCAGGACCCAGGCGGACCCCCCTGCCCCCCCAGTGGAGTGGTCAAAGGTGACGGGAACCCAGGTGTCCTGCCGCATCAACTCCATCTCCTCTCTTCTAGGTGCGGCACCAAGGGGACCCCTTTGGCACCCCGAGCTTCCGCCCTCCCGCGCCGCCGGGCCTGCCGCCCCCGCCCCCATCCCGGCCCCCAGGAGGGGATGCCGAGCGCCTGGCAGGCCTGGCTGCTGCTTACGCCGCCCTGCCTGGACTCCTGGGCTCCGTGCGGGCCCAGCAGGCCCAGCTCAACCCGGGGGCCGCAGAGCTGCTGCGGGGCCTGGAGGCGGGGGGGCCGCGCGGCCCCGGG